CCCCACCCGAATTTTTTTGTTAGTACGGCACTTACGAATTTGTTTAATCAATGTATCAACTAAAACCGAACAGCGCAACACGGGATAAAACAAAAATGAATAATAGAAATAAAAGAAATAATTTGTTATTAAAATAAAGTTAATTTATAATAATACTTATATAAATTTTTTTATAAACCCCTCCCGAAATTAATTCCTATATACGCCACTGCACCCACCCCTTATAAAATTGAGAGATGGCCACCTCTCGATTATCCCCTTTGCCACGCCACTGATTATACAAACGCCCTGTGAAAATAGCTTGGTTATCAGTTGTAACTTGTAGTTATAATACATTTATAAATCTATAATATACTATTCATATGTTATACATACATCATATCACAGCATCTCCTTCGTTAAAAATTAATCCGAAAAATATATTAAGTATTTTAGTTTAAGAAATATATCACTCCTATTGTAAAAATACCTAAGTTATAATGGGTCATCAGTTAAAATTAACAAATACTGATGTGTTCATTTTTAAATATTTATTTTGTCTTTACATTTTATAATAATTGCATTTAGAGCCTATTTTTAATTTTGTAAATTTTCAAATACAAGAATACAGCGTTAATATAATTTATGATTTGTGATTATATTAATTTATAGCCATATGGTATTTGTAAATTTGTAATATATACGAGTATATACATTATACATAAATATGCTTATTGAATACTAGAATTGGGAATTTACAATTTAGGAATGTGACTAGTATTCATTTATAAAGAATTATGAATTCATTAATATTTGTATACACTATATGTTAAACATTTTTACAATAGTTATTAGTTTATTGTTTATACTATACTTATTAATAAGCTTATAAAATAATTTTATTGTAAATTAATTGTAACAATAATAATTTATAAAATACAACATAATATAATGCATTTATAAATATATGTCAAACTATAAAATGTAAGGTAAAATTTATTTATTTTAGAGAAAAACATTTTGTCGATCAAGTGTAAATGTATAAAAATATATTGATTACAATAAATTAAGGGTACTACCTAATTTGCTGAACTGCTAATTTACTGAACTAGGGCCATTGCGGACGTAGTGTGGKAAAATCAAGTCCGAATGGGCCTATACAACTACGTACCAAATTCCAAGTTGTTCAGTCGAATATCATATTTAATATGAAATAAATTTCGTGTATTTATAAACTGGATTATTACGATTATATTATGTTCATTGATAAACTTATTAATTATTATACTTATATTGTATTTAAATATCACATATTAATCATAGGCATAGGCGTGCGCACAGGGGGGCTGGGTTGGCCGCGGCCCCCCTGCGACCTCCGGCTTTTTCTTTAATAAATGCATAGATATGTATATTATACTAGACAGCGAACATTTTTAGATTTTATAAAAAAAAAGTAAAGCCAGTTTTAATCTAATAGTATAAATAAAATATAAATGTGATTAATTTATTATTTTATTAATTAATCGATTATCATCATACAAGAATCTTTAGTTCGGACCTTTTTAAAGGCCCCCCCCTGCGGTCAAAGTCTGCGCACGCCTATGATCATAAGTCCATTGGTCCATGGGTATAACTTCGGGCCTTATATACAGATAAAGATATTGTATTGTATCTGTGATATTTACGTAATGTGAACGTAGTTTTTCTGTGAACGAGCATTTAGAAATACCCACTCAGTAGCAAACTATCACAGTAATTCGATTATTACTCAGATATATGTAGTATATTATTATGATGTGTGTAATTTAGAACCCGTAGGGCTATTCGTAACATTAAACCAGGTTGGGTTCATCTTCATTTAAATTATTTGAAAGTAAATGTGCTTACTGTATTGTTTCATATTTAAAATTTAAAAAACAATAACTCTAAAAATTAAAAGTTATAAAAAAATTACTATACATATTTCTTATGTGTAATGAAGGGCACCGCGAGGGGGGTGCAAGGGGGTAAAATTGCACCGCTCTGGCTTTTAAAAAAAAGTCGTGGATGTCGCTCTGCTGTACAGTAGGTTACAAGTGGGTTACTGTAGTAATGGATGGAATTAAATTTGAATCCAATGATATCATATCATTGTATACGAAAAACGATTCTGAGCGAAGACGGTTTATCTGTCTAGGATATATTAATTATAGATTATTAAAAATAATTATCAATTCTTAGATTTA